TCACAGAGTTATCAGTCAAAATATCATGATGGAATGAAATTTTTGTTTACATTTATTAATTTTCAGACTTCAGCAGCTTCATCTGTTGAGTCTGTAGTGTCAGCTGCCATTGCTTCTCTGTTTTCATAAGTCCAAAATCCATTTAAGTCAATTAAAATGCTAACCATTGTGTCCCCCTGGCCACTGAAAACCAAACCAACAACATTAGAACAAATTTAAACGATATACCCAATGAATAGGTCTATTTTTTCTCTTTTTCAAATGAAAAGAAATTTTTTATGTTCAATCCAATCATATTTACCAGTTTAGAAGATCTTGGAGAGTTATTTTCGTGGGGTCCTGTGGCTTAACCATGTCAAATATTTCATCTTTGACATCTTCAAAGTTAACAGGCTCCTGACCATGTACTGACATTTGTTCTTGTATTGCCTGCAGATAATGATTTCATAAATAAAAGTGGAAGAGTTTATCATAGTCCCCATCTACATAGGTACTTTCACCACTAATTGCAAACTCACCCGAAAGAAGAAATTCAAGCAGAACGTGTCAAGATACCCCTGATTGTTTATATCCAATATCCTGAATAGGTAATGTAAGGATTGGGGCTCATGGCGGTTTTCAAGTGCTAGAACAAAATCTAAATACGTCTTGTAGTCCATTTCACCGTCATATGTTAAACATTCCTGAAATACACGTTCTAGGAAAACAGTTGTCAAAGTTCCTGTTCCATAGCTGTAAGATAGAAATGTACGTATAGAATTGAAGTACGTATATTAATGAAATAATAAGAAAAACCTGTCATTCTTTTAAGTCCTACCCTGCCAACTCTTCTTTATTTAACATTCCATTGTGATCACGGTCCAAGTTAAGATATTGTCCATAGACTCTTAATGCAGAGGGAGCAGAAAACCAATTGGCTTCCTGGAGGTCCTTTGGCAAATCTTCATCTCGCAACTAGGCAAGATTCAATATTGTACCAAAAATTATTAAAATTAATATTCCTTGGAAAAGTATTATTGAGAACATTTATAAATACCTCCAATAAATCATCAAGAAAACTGCAGGCAAGTATGTCTTGAATGCGAACTCTTCCTGTATGTAAAGGATCAAGGAAGAATAAAAATTTTCTCACTGCCGTGCATACATAAAAACTGTGGAATGATTTTTCTAAGCCATCAAGCTGAGGTAAAGTTGGAATCAACTCTAATATGTAATTTTCAAGGTCCTGCAGAAAGAAGTAAAAATACATATGATTGTTGGATACAAAATACATTAAGAAAAGTATATCTCACTAATGACTGCAAGGTGAAAGCTGACACATACTGATTCTCGCAAATATCCTTGTCCAGTCACATCATATAGTGACAAACCAATTCTTGTTTGGTGTAACCACACTTTTCGCATGACATAATTAAAGAGAGCCATAATACTGATTCTGCCATGAGATTCTTTCAATTGGAGTTTAGCAAAAACACTAGGTGTAAGATAGCTTCTACAAGAGATCATTGTTAATATTAAAAGCTATTACTTAATAACATTTACAATCTTATAATTTAAATCTTGCACTCACTTGCATTTAGGTCCAGCCTCTGCTGCCACTTTGAGAAAGTCATCATAATTTATAAGCTGCTTGTCAGCAGCATGCGGTGGACTATGATTTTTGTCAAGGAGAACCCAAAGGGCCTGAAAAACAGGATTTCCATTTCAGAAAAAGTGAGTTTTGATATATTTATGTTGGAAACAGTAAATCCACCCACCTTAAGTTCATTGTTATCTAACAACTGACGGCTTCTTCTTTGAAGAAACATTGCACGAGCCTCCTCCCGTAGTTTTTGAGGAAGGACTTCATCCTCACTGGGAAGCTGAAAAGATTACAAAATGATAACAATGAATTATTCTGTACACAGAACAAAGGTCTTGAAACAATAAAATTAATTCAACTTTGAATAGAGCTTTATCTTTGTACCTTAAAGTAAAATCTGGGAATTGTGCTATACGACGAATCAACTGGACCAGAGGTTGTCTTCCATTCTTTGTAAAATTTAGAAAAGAGCTCCTCTTCTGTTTTTGTTTCTTTTTTCGAATTAGTTTCTGAATACAAGGGTAGAAGTCAGAGGAATCAAAGAGAATATATAGGTAAAGTTATTTTTTTTTAAAAAAAGGGGGAAAAGAGAATCTTACGAGAACATTTCCTCAGTAATTCTTTAAGATGTGCCATATTGCACTGGCAGTCAATCCAAAGTTGATGGCAGAGACCAATAAGAACACTTATGAATTGAACTTTGACTCATAAAATGTACTTCTCTCTCTGAAATTCAATACTTCAGTTAGTTTGCAAGCATTTTTGGTGAAGCAGGGTGAAGATCCAAATGAAAATAAACAACAGTAACAACAACAAAACAAACCGTTGCCCACTAAGCTACCAACCTTCTCCATTTGAAACACCTTGATATTACAGTCGAATTTACCAACTTAGTGAAAGAGACCTTACAAACATTCCAATTTTATACATTCAAAACAACTATTTGATCAGGAAACTGCTTTTATGACAAGTTTTCATCGCCTTTATTGTGGAATTTTATGATACTTTGTTGGCATACGGAAATGTCGACATTGTGGAGTTTGGTGAAAAGGCGGCCATATCGTTTTCATTTTGGCTGTGGAATCGAGAATGGCAATGTTTTCGTTTCATAGATTTTGCTGTGCTTTTTGTACAATGATTGATTTGCTTTAAGGAAATTGCCTTTTTTAAAATCTTAGCACCAAGGTAATTTCACAAAAGCCATAAGTGTTTGTCCCTGCGTTTCTGACCGTTTCCCACTCCGTCTATTGTGTCTGCTTCCCTGTTTACATTTGGAAAAATGTCTTCTTTCAAACCACTAGTCGATTTGCTCCATTTATATATTATGAATGAAAGTCCTCATTAACCTTGAAGTATTGCTTTTCTAAGTCATGCTTTCTAAACATTGGCCACTGTTCCCGCTTTGAGAGAGCATGCATTTGTTACTTCTGGTTTACAACAACCCTTTGGTTAGGGTAATGATGTTTTAAGAATGATTTTGCTATATTTCCTTTAATTTTTTTCTCTCCTTTTTCTACCTTTCTTTATAACCAAGTTTCTTTTTTCTTTTTTTCCTCACAGGCACAATGGATGTGTTAAACACCCACCTCCCTAAAATTCTTGATTTAGCCAAGAACTTTAATTTGGATTTAAGTGGGGTAAGTGTTATAAATTCAGATTCATATATGGTCTTTTATGTAGGGCTTCACTCAGACCAAGTACTTGTTTGAAGGTATTGGCAGGTTATGCTCAGAAACTCCATGATGATGTACCCGAACTCATGGAGAATTTTAGCTTCCCAGAAGCTGCACTGCTCCTACAGCATTGTGCTGAAATTTATGGGCGGAAAGTGGACTATGTCCACACGCTTGCGTTGGAACTGTGTGAAAATATGAACAGGTAGGCATCTAATTGTAGGCTGAGCTCCTACTTATTCTATGCTGTTATCTGATTTTTACTTTTTTAAATTATGGATCATTGATCAATGCTATTTATCTTTGTTTTAGCCGTATGTATGCGCCTGAATCAGCACAGGGACAAGGTGCTGCAGAACCTGCTTCAATTTCACCAAAGAAATTAGCTAACGCACGCAAGAAGAAAACTGTTTCAATTATATCAACTGAAGATTTTAAAATGAATTCTTTTTCCTTAGGTATGTTCTTATTATGTTGTTTCCTATTATCAAAAGACTATATGTTTCCATATTCTACATGTATTTTTTCTTTACTGCATGTACAGAAAAGCCCAACACATTTCACAGGGGGCGAAAGAAAAAGAAGAAAAAGCACTGTGCTGAAGCAGTTTGTGTCAGACTTGCTGCTGTCAATTTGCCCTCACATGAGTTTCATATCTATGATGATGATGCGTTTGCCAGTATTGGCACAAAAGACCAATTTAGGTAAAGAGCAAAATGTGCCAAACTGATTTTTTTTTTTTTTTTTTTTTTTTTTTTTTTTGTGCTATTGTTAATTTTTTTCCCCTTTTTTAAAGATTAAATTGGCCTATTGAGCAGAATTGTAGATTAGAAGAGTACATTCTAGATGAAGGCTCAGGAAACTTATGGAATGTGTGTGATGGTAAGTGCCATTTTGGATCCTGAACTTCAAATTTGTGCTATTTTTTGCAGCTTTTCATGTTTCCTTTCCTCTTTGTTTTTGCAGTGGGTGTTTCTAATATGCCCACTCCCGAATACAGTGATGATGGTGCACGATGTCCCTCACCTAGATCATTACTCACATCTCCAGGATCTAATATAAATGTAGACTGTGGCCAAACACCTGATTGTAGCCAAATATCAGACAGCAATGAAATTGCTGATAGTGAAATACCTGATAGCAATGACATTCCTGATTGCAATGAATTCCTTGATTCTAGTCAAACAAATTGTGACATAGCTGAGGTTACCACTGTTCAGGAGTTGCGTAAATCTGGGGCTCCCAGTAAAGAAAAGTAAGAAGCTAATTTTTTATTTGTCTATTATTTTTTCCTTGCATTGTTGTTGTGTCCTGTTTAATATACATAAGAATTGTATTTCTTTTTTTAGTCTGGTTGACAACACTACTAAAGATCAAGCCAAAGAAAAATCTAAGAGCGCTAAGACCACATTCAAGCTTCCCTATGAATTAACTAAAAAGGTGAAACTTATCTGATCTGAAAATCTGTAAAAGTTCTTGAAATGTTATCATTTACAAAGAGTTTATTCAGTTCCCACTGTACCTGATGATGTTTTTATTTCTGTTTATGTAGGGTTTAAAAGAAGCAAAACCGGAGGGAAATATTACATTATTTCTCTTTTCTGATCTTCTTAAAAGAAGTTTAGGGATTAAAGGTCCTCTTCCACCTGTTTCTAAAAATAAAAATGCAGACAATAAACTCATTGAAAAACATATTGATTTTCTGAAGAAAAAGTACAAATTAGGTACGTTCAAGGGCTACTTTTTATTAGGGATTGTGTTAATATATTCTGGTTTGTATCAAAAGTGTGACCTTTTTATTTACTTCAGGAACAAAATCATTGGATACTGGAAGCTTACTAGAAGAGCAAACTGGTGAGAATCTTAATCAAAGGATCACTATTTTGTACCTAATTCTCTTCTACAAATAATCTATTTCTGTTCATTGTTTTTCTAGATTTCCTTGGGTTTGATGAAGAACCATTGCCAGACATTCCTGGTCAGTGAAAAACCATTTTTCATTCCGTTTTCAGTAGTACATCAAAAATGATATCTTACTGATGTTAAAATTTATTTTTACAGATGTTTTGATGCCTATTGGACAGTCAAGTGAGCACGGAAAGACAGTCAAATCTTCCAAAAGTAAAGTTGCTGACAGAATTGTTGATTTTGAGGATTATGGACATCATGATGATGACTGGGATGCAGACAACATTCCACATGACAACACTTCTCATGACAACACTTCATTTCAAGAGGACACTCAGCCAAGAAGGGTATGATTTTAAGTATACTCAGATTTCTAACAAAACTTAATCTTCAGGAAAAATTAAGTAAAGTTTCGGTTTGATTAATCAATCTGAATTTTTGCCATTTGTAGCCTACAATCGATGAACAAGGTGTCAGAAATTGGCGACAATTTATTCAGGGTAAATTGGCTGCAGAGGAAGAACAGAAGCCCTTTGATGTTCATTCTTATGGATCTGACATCATTAATGCTTTCCACCATGTTGGTGAAACATTGCCTTTTGAAGCTATTGTTGGTGGGATGGACGTCCGAGAAATTGGGCGTTACTTTGTTTCATCCCTGATGCTAGTAAGAAAATCATTCAACTCTCACAATAACAAATAAAACTACAATCTACTTTATGAAAATATCTTAAAGCTCAAAACCTTTCCAGGCTAATACAACTAATTTAAATATTGAAGACAGTGGGAAACCCAATACTCTGAGGATGACTTTACAAAAAACTGAGAGGTTTCATGATATGGAGGACATTCTAGTCCCACCCTCGGTAGGTGGATTGGAGAAACAGTCTCCCCAGAAGCAATCTCAAGCAAAGAGGTAAGCAGGCTAGTGAGAAACACGTACCAATATGTTTATGATCACTGTGATCTAACATGTATTTTTTCTATTTCTATCAAAGGAAGTCCCAGTCAAATTTAGAGGAAGAGGAGGAATCTACTCAACATAGGTAAATTTTGCTTTCAATACCTATCTGTCTCTGCTTTTTTGATGCAGTTCTTCTTACCTTCAAGTTACATACATTATTTTATTTTTTTAATTTTATTTTTTTTGTAGGTACCTAAAGCAAATACCTGGCAAAGGCCCATGGAGAAATAAAAGTAAAAAAGGGAGAGAGTTTGATTGATTTGTAGGGAGCATGTAATTTTATCAGTTCATGATTCAAAGTTATCTTTACAGTTGAAGGTAAGCTTTTGTTAATGTTGTTATTTTGACTCTTGGAGAGTGTTAAGTTTTTCTTTTTATCCATTTGTTTTCTCTTCCTGACTCACTGCATTCCCTCCCCTCCCCCTCCCTCTTTTTAAGAAAAAATTCAAGTCTTCATTATCGTTCCCAGTTTTTATTCTAGTCAAAATTTGCAATATGCATGCAGGTAGAAGGAAAAATTGACTGGTTCATTAATATTTTT